GAGGGTCAGTACTGAGGGAGTGCCGCACTGTCAGAGGGCATGTGCCATCAAAACCGGTGTAATATACAAAATACCATGCAAGGACTGTGAGAAAAACTACATAGGCTAAACCGGAAGAAAATTGACAATAAGGATACATGAACACCAACTAGCCACCAAGAGACACTCACTTGTCTCATTACACACGGACAACGAGGGACATAATTTTGACTGGGCCAACACATCCATAATTGCAGAAGCCAAACAGATACACACCAGGGAATTTCTGGAGGCCTGGTATTCCAACCGGAACTCCCTCAACAAACACACTGAATTAGACCCTGTGTACAAACCACTGAGAAACAGAACTGGAAGTGGTACCAACCACCCCAGCAAACCGAGGCTTATAAATAACAAGTGGGACAGAACACCAACGCTTCACTGGAGGCGCACTGACTGATGTTACCTAGCAGGGTGGTGAAACATTTGCAACCAAACCCACCAGCTCAGTGAGCATATCTAAAACCTCACTTTCTTGTCTGTTTGCAAGGTAGGAGTCACATCTTCCTACATTACAACAGTGACTCCACTTCAAAAGGACTGCTTTGGCGGTAAGACACAATGGAATGTGCTGAATCTTTAGAAGCCATTGCCGAGATGGAAGCAATCTGAGGAAGAGAGAGGTAACGGAATGATTGGGCAAGGATTACCTTTCTCGCTGCCAGCTGCATACTGTGGGGGCTTGTTCTTATCGATGCTGTTGAAACTCTGGCTCCGTCTGTTCAAATTGTTAGATCCCTGGACCTTAGTCGTGCTCCCTGCTGCTGGGCCCCTGGAGGGTCCTGGGAGTCTGCAAGGCAACAGAAAGATTAGAGAAGTGGGTATGATGCAGCTGGCAAGGTAATGTCTTCCCCAAAGTACACACCTGCCAGCATTAATTGTGCATGGCACAGCCTCGCACGTTTCCCTCTGCCACACCAGGCACTGTATGCCGTGGGCTGAGCTGTGTTTCTATTCAACAGAAAGCTGCCCAGACCAGCTCAGTTCCAACATCAACAGGTTTCTGGGGCCTTTGTGACTGTTAATGTTTACCTCCTGATCTCTCCCTCCCTCCCTGCCCCTACGACAAGTTTCAATCAGGACTCTGCAAACAGTAAGGTGAACTGTGACTCGATCAGGCCCTCTTAGAGAGAAAAGCGCAAAATTCATGTTCAACACTGATCCTTGCTGTGAAAATATTTGCACTAAGATTAAAAAAGAAAAAAAAACAAGGGTGCCAAATTTACTTTGTTAACAGCAGGTTGGAGATGGGATCTAACATCAATTCTTTTAAAATTCCTCCTATTCAAGGTTCCATTTGTGCTAAACATATATGTGGATTTGGTGAGATGGAGTGAAGTGAGAGAGGGCTGATGTGAACCTGTTTCAACTTGATCAGAGCAGCCTTGTTTCACACACATTCGGATCTAATATGTAAATACAGCGAGAGTGAAAGTCTCTGGGACAGGGAGTCATGTTAGACTTTGCTTCCAAACTGGTCAAGTCCTCAGTAACTGATCAGCATTCCACAAAGCAAGGGCACGCCACAAACAGACATGGCAAAAAGAATTCAATTAGCCCATGTCATTGCCCCTTGTTCCAACCTCGTGTTAACTTTCCACAAAGAAACAACTGTAGACATTCAATGGTGTTACCATCACTGAATCCCCCACTGCCAAATTCCGGGGGGGGCTATCATTAATCAGAAACTCAACTGGACTCACCACATAAACACAGCGGCTACAAGAGCAGGTCAGAAGCTGGGAATCCTGCAGCGAGTAACTCACCTCCTGACTCCCCAAAGCCTGTCCCACCATTTCCAAGGCACATGTCAGGAGTGTGATGGAATACTCCCCACTTGCCTGGATGAGTGCAGCCCCAACAACATTCAAGAAGCTTGACACCATCCAGGACAAAGCAGCCGCTTGATTGGCACCACATCCACAAACATCCCACTCCCTCCACCATCGACGCTCAGTAGTAGCAGTGTGTACTATCTACAAGATGCACTGCAGAAATTCACCATAGATCCTCAGACAGCACCTTCCAAACCCACTACCACTTCTATCTAGAAGCACAAGGGCAGCAAATACATGGGAACACCAACCCCTGCAAATTCCTCTCCAAGCCACTCACCATCCTGATTTGGAAATATATCGCCGTTCCCTCAGTGTCATGTGACATCCACATCCACTCAATGAATAAAAATAACCGCTATAAATGCAAAATAAAAACAGAAAATGTTGGAAATACTCAGTACCCTGGCATCTGTCTGGGGGCAAGGAATGCAAGCAGGGTCTGTTGGAGACAGAGTGAGCTAATGTTTCAGGTCAATGACCTGTTGTCAAGCACACTGATTTCTGATAAAGGGTCATCAAGCTGAAATATGAGCTCTGTTTCTCCATCAATTCTGCTAGTCCAGCTAAAGAGCCCGAGTGTTTCCTATTGATATCTCCTTCCTCCAACTTTACTGATCTTTCCCTACTCTTATCTTCGCTCTCCCTTGTGTATTTAGCCAGTTTTCCCTCTTCAATGTAACCCCTTCCCCCTCAGCTACTCCCCTTGGGAGTTACAGTCACATTCTCCCCCCACTCCCCATGGGAGTTACAGTCACATTCTCCCCCAACTCCCCGTGGGATCTACAGTCACATTCTCCCCCCACTCCCCTTGGGAGTTACAGTCACATTCTCCCCCAACTCCCCGTGGGATCTACAGTCACATTCTCCCCACACTCCCCTTGGGAGTTACAGTCACATTCTCCCCCAACTCCCCGTGGGATCTACAGTCACATTCTCCCCACACTCCCCTTGGGAGTTACAGTCACATTCTCCCCCAACTCCCCGTGGGATCTACAGTCACATTCTCCCCACACTCCCCTTGGGAGTTACAGTCACATTCTCCCCCCAGTCCCCTTGGGAGTTACAGTCACATTCTCCCCCCAGTCCCCTTGGGAGTTACAGTCACATTCTCCCCCAACTCCCCGTGGGATCTACAGTCACATTCTCCCCCCACTCCCCATGGGATCTACAGTCACATTCTCCCCCCATTCCCGGTGGGATCTACAGTCACATTCTCCCCCCATTCCCCGTGGGAGTTACAGTCACAT